ACGGAGTCTCGCTCTGTTGCCCAGGCTGGATGCAGTGGCGTGATTTTGGCTCACTACAAGCTCCGCCTCCCAGGTTCACGCTGTTCTCCCGCCTCAGCCTCCCGAGTAGCTGGGACTACAGGCACCACTTAGTAATGGAAAGTATTGTTATTCTAATTATTTCAAATAAGAATAGTGCCTTTTATTGGGGAAAGATTCTACTTGGCTGATCACAACACAACAAGAGGTTTATTTCTTCCTCCACGAGGTACCGGTTAAGGATTCAAATCACAACATCCCTCAATCAGATTCTGCTATTCTTACTGATAAGTTGTAGGACTCTGAGCAACTGAATTATCTTTGTTACCATTTCCTCATCTATTAAATAGAGTCCATGATACCCACATCAGAGGGCTGCTGTGAGGAAGGAAAGACATCATCATGCCTGGCACATAGCATGAGGTCAATAAACAAACAGCATAAAATGGGGGGAGTCATTCCCACTCGCAGGAAATGCATTTATCCAGTTGCTGTTGTTGCAAATACAAATCAAAGAGTAAAGAATGTGCATTTCTTTGCTTTCCTATAATTTAATTTTTATTCTCTGCCCACCCCATTTTACAGTTAGCCACCTAGCTCTGACTGCTCTTGTCTTTCTAGAGTGGTTCTAGGGAAGAGATGCTTACAGAATGCCAAGGCACTCAGGGTGGGGGCGTGTGGGCATACCTGGTCCTCTGTCAGGTTCTGCCTGCACTGGCATCTGCTGAGACATCCCCAACCCATCTGGTCCACACTTGCAGAGTGATCGCCTTTCTCTTTCCCAGTTACAAGGTCTTTCAGATCTGCAGGTGCTCAGGACCATGTTCTTGTCACTCTTGGGTGCATGGTAAATTCTCTATGGCACCCAGGCCACACAGAGGCATGGGAATCTTTGGGCTATTTCAGGTCTGTCTGGCCCCTCACCATGGGCATGGGGAACCCTGGGGTCCTGCCACTTCCCCAGGTTTGACCTTGAAAAGGAGCACAGGGGCTTCCATTCTTGAATCCCCTTGCCACAGTGCCCACTTTTGTCCAGGTAACCTTGCTCTGTCTGCCATGGTAGCTTTCAGCCATCTGTATTGTTGGTGCCGAGTCCTTCAGAGCCCAAAGCCTAGGTTCTCACAACTCCAGAGCCTAAGTTCTTGACACTCAAATATCTTCACTCTGCTTTTTTTGCTGTAACATTCCTTCCCAAGGTAGCACATGCCCTCGACTGAATGGGGAAGGGTGAAAACAGGATCAGGGAGGAACCTGGGTGGGTAATTCCATCGGCTTTTCTACCACACTGTTTTGCTGAAAAAGAAAAATTAGGAAGGACAGAAAAATTTGAGAGGTGGGGGTGGGAAATGCCTCCAGGATTGAAAAAGTTTTTGATGTTATTGGGACCCTTCTGTGGTCTGAGCCTCTGCTCCTGGGATCCTGGAGGAGCTCCTTCCCTCAGCTGGAAGACATACCCTCTGAGGATCCTACTCTGTTTGCAAGGCAGGTGGCGCTTTCTGCCCAGCCTGCCTCTGTTGCACCCACCTGCCCCCATGCAGAGGGGCCTCATGGGGTCTCCAGGCTCCCTTGACCTGTTGTCTTTTTGGTCCCACCTCATCAGCACCCCTATTGAGCATGCGCCAGTGTGCACCAGCCAGGCCACCACCCCGCTGCTGCCCGCTTCTGCCCAGCCGCCTGCTGCTGCCTCTCCCAGTGCAGCTTCGCCACCCCTGGCTACAGCTGCTGCCCACACTGCCATCACCTCTGCCGCCGCTACAGCCCCTGCTTCAAGTTCTGCCGACAGCCCAAGGTAACTGGCCCACAGGTGCCGGGCCTGACCCTGGGGAAGGGAGACAGGAAACGCCCCACTCTGGGTCCACCTATGGCCAGCTGTGTCCAAGGTAGTTAGGGCCCACAGGCCTGGAAGAAGCCAAGGCCAGTGCTGCTTGGTGCAGAGTGTGAAGGGGAAACTGAGGGTGAATTTCAGGGGTGTGCACCACTGTAGCAGGGACTGTCACTCTGCCCCCCAGGGACACATACACCAGTGAGGGAGGTAACAGTCTCTCTCATAGATACATACACACACTCATACACACAGTGTTAGATAACAAAAGGGGACTGTGTGAAAAGTCTTTGTTCCTGGAACTCAGATTAGGTAGAATGAAAGTCATCCCTGTGGGCTGGAGAAATCAAGGAAGGTTCCATGGAGGAGGGAGCATTGGAGCTGGGCAGGGAAGGCAGGTCAGATTTCGTCAGAGAGAGTTTAGCCATGAACTTCCCACTTCCCCTCCCCTCTCTTCGGAGAAGCATGTTAACGCCAGAGGCACCCAGTATAGTGGGATTTATATCTGCTCCACAGTTTACTGTGTGTAACCTTGAAAAATTGACTGAAGCTCTCTGAACTGCAGTTTCCTCGTCTGTTAAGATGTTTACCAAACACCTATTATATAAGATTATGATAGAAAAAATGTCTGTAAAACACCTAATACATACAAAGGACACAAGTATTGTGAGTTCCTGCATCTGCCTTCCTAGACACCCAACAAGGCAGAGACCAAAGGCCAGGGGAGAAGAGGGGAGGCAGAGGGGCTAGGCTGACAGGTCACTCTGCAGTGGCCATGTGGCGCATCAGGCTGGATGGGGCCCGCTCTGTCTGGGCTTCCAAGAGTCGGCCAGTTAGTGTTTGCGGTCGGAGCCCAGGTGTCCCAGTCTCCCACCCTGGCCCCCAGGGTTTGCTGGGGGGGACATGCCTCTTGGATCAGAATGGGTAGGTCCATGGTGCAGCCTGAGGTGGGATTGATATGAGCAAACTGGCTCGCAGGCCTGTCTGCTGCCCCCATCCCAGGCTTCACATTAACTGCATGGTGCCCAAGACCAGCCTTTCCCCAGCCCAACTGAAGCCTGAAGGAGGAGCCTGGCCCTCCAGGGATGGTTTCATCCCAGTTTTCTGGGGGATTTAGGACACTGCTTCCCCTCTTTATACCAGAATCTCTTCATATAAAGGCCTTGCTACCCGCACAAAGAAGAGATTTTGAGGAGGGCAAGAAATATCTCTTGTAGAGTGGGAAGAAGCCTCCCAATTTGAATGGTGAGGGGCTATAGATGCTAGAGCCCTGCAGGCAGTCCAGCCTCATCCCTGGGGCCCCAACCCTGCTCAAAGGCAGGCACCAGCACCAGGCTCAGGTCTCAGTGTCCTGGGCGTGCCGACGGCTGAGCTCCTGGAGCCCTCGGGACGCCCCCGACAGGGGGAGTCCTCCCTTCCTTCCCTTTGCCTTGCCAGGAGAGCTGGGGCCTGGGTGGAGCTTGGAGAGGGCCACAGAGGGCTGCCCAGCGGGGAGTGGGGCTGGAGTAGAAGGGGTCACGGGGTTGTACTCTGAGCAAACCTACCTCCCCTCCTCACACATGGGCTGGGATGGCGCTGGAGCTGGGGGAGCCCATGGGAGGCAAATGGAACCCCCAGTCTTTCATGGGAGCATGGCTTCAGAATTTTCAATGGATGCCATAAGCCTCTGCTCCCTTTCCCAGAGCCAGTCCCTGACTCAGGACCTGTAGCTCCTGGGCTGCGGGCAAAGTGTCCTCCACTGATGGAGTCCGGCTAAGACCACTGCCCCTTGGCCCACCCCCATCCCTATGGAAGCCCGGCAACCCTTGGACACTGTCTCTTCCTCTTCCATGGAGACCCCTACTCTGCTGATCTCAGCACAGAAATCTATCCAGAGAAGGGCAGGTGGGCCTGGGGAGGGGAGACAATGGCTTCACTCAGCCAGAAACTAGGCAGCTTGACAGGGCAAGTGTGCACAGCCTCCAGGTCTGGGATGCTGGCTACCTGAGGCTCATTTTATCTCCACCTTGTCTGGGACAGCCCCTCAGAACTCTCTGGATCCACTCAGAAGCTTGGTGGTGGGTTCTCATCCCAGGGCCACCCCCTTCTCAGAGCCCCGGAGAGGAAGGCACTCCTCATCCTACAGCTCTGCCCAGCAGGGCCCGGGCCCTTGAGGAACAGACAGAAGGAAGGCAGGAAGCCATGGGGCGGTGGGTGGGGGTGGCAGGCAGGACTCACTTCTCCAGCACCTCCAGCAATAACCCATTTGCCCTGGGTGTGGGCATGTGGTCCCCTTTGAGATCTGAAAGACCAGGGATGTGTTTTGCAAGGTGTTCATTAGTTTTAAATGAAGAAAAGCGTTTTACAAACAAACACAACTGGGGAACGCCGATCAGAGAAGGCTCAACAGGCGGCTGGATTCCAGGAGTTCTCGGAGCCTTCAGCTCTCTGGGAGGAGAGGCCAAGCACATACTCTGCTGAGGGTAATGAACTAGGACACTTTTTAAAAAAATCTCTTTGACCCCATTGTCCCAGGGCCACACATGGGGAAAGGTGATTCTAGGCCCCTTGACAACTAACCCAGTTAGAGGAGGACAACAGGAACTCTATGCAGAAAAGGTGTGTGTTGCTGGGGGGAGGGGGTCCTTGAGTGGCAGAGACGGGGTTGGGGGAGCGGCGCGGGTGTCTCCTGACTTCTCCTGAGCTCTCCCTGGAGTATCTGTGCCCAGAAACCTGAGACTTTGCTGCTCCTTCCAGCAACAATAGAAAAGAGTAGGCAGAAGAGGCCAGGTGGTCAGGGGCTGAGGTGCCCCACGAGCTCATGGGGGTAGGTAGTTCTGACCAGCGCCATCTCTCTCCTCTCCCCTACCTCTGCGCTCTTCCACAGTCCCACCTGGGCAGTCTCTCCCCACGACAGTGAAGGGTCTTCCCGGTGTCCTCCTGTCTGGCTGGTGGCTTTTCTCCCTCTCTCCAAAGGCAGTGGCACTAGCCACCCAAGGAACACCCTCCTCCCCTCTGAGACCCTTATGGTCCTTCCTTCACAGTTTCTGGCAGCTCCCAAGAAATGTCTCTGTCAGGTGTCCTCACAGAGGCTTCTGAAGACCTGGGAGTCAGCCTGCCTTGGCTGCAGGCCCCAGTGGGGGTGTCCTTCTGGGTGTAACCCTTCCCCCCTTGGTTCCAGGCCCCAGGCCTCTTCCTACAGCCCAGCAATGGCCGCCTCTTCAGCACCTGCCACTCACACCAGCTACAGTGAGGGCCCCGCCGCCCCTGCACCCAAGCCCCGGGTTGTCACCACTGCCAGCATCCGGCCTTCTGTCTACCAGCCAGGTAAGAGGCAGAGCAGGAGGGGAGGCTGTCTAAAGCCATGGGTGGGTTCCAGGAGTTGCAAGAGCCAAGAGATGGCTCTGGGGTCACATCCCCAGAAGAATGGGAAGCGAGGTCTTGCTATTGAGGCTCCACCCTCCATCCTCCAGTTGTGGGTCAGAATCCTATGGAGCCTGCATCTGGCCTGGGGGAGACAGGTGAGCAAGAAAGTAGTGGATGATTCTAAGGGAGAGCAAAGGAGAACAGAGAAGTCTTCTCTGGACCAGGCCTGGTGGCTTACACTTGGAATCCCAGCACTTTGGGAGGTCAGGGCAGACGGATCACCTGAGGTCGGGAGTTCAAGACCAGCTTGGCCAACATGGCAAAACCCCAACTCTACTAAAGATACAAAAATTAGCCGGGCGTGGTGGCACACACCTGTAATCCCAGCTACACGGGGGGCCGAGGTTGCAGTGAGCCCAGACCGCACCATTGCACTCCAGCCTGGACGACAGAATGAGACTCCCTCTTCTCCGTTTCATGCCAGTGTGCGAGAGTTGGCCGAAGCCATGGGGATACAGAACAGCACAGGTGGAGCCTGGACTCGGGAGCAGGTCCTATCCAGGCGCAGGGAGAGACCCCAGGGAAGTTTTCTCTGCTGCTGGAGCCCAGGGAAATGAGACAGGCACTGAGTCAGGGCGGGCCTTGCTCCGGGGGTTTGGTTCATGAAGCTCGCTGACAGCAGGGTTGAGTGTGGGTGGTCGAAGCGGCTTTTGCCCCAGACAGAGGCCGGTGCCAGGGCCTGCTCTGCTGTCGAAGGCAAAGCGCCTCATCCCTCCAGGCTGTGATGTTCATGGACACCTCGTGTTCTGGAAATGGAATGAAGCACCCAGCACAGCGTCTGTCACACGGGAGGTGCCCTTCTCTGTCCCTAGAGAAGGAGCAAGGACAGACGGTTCTGAGGTGCAAACTCCGCAGGGCGAGGTGGCGTTTTGCAGTAGCGACAAGCCTTAGATGGAGCGGTGGGAAGCGGCTGCCCCTGCGGAGACTGAGGACACAGGGAGGGGAGGCTGGAGAGGAGTTTGGAGGAGAAGCGGCGGGTGGAGGCGAGGCCTTGCCGGGGCGCAAGGAGGATATTTCCGTCTCTTTCCGAGGAGGCGCTTCTGGCACCTTCCGGGGCGGCCGCCGGCTGTCTTCGCCCAGCCCGCCA